TCATTAATTAGGAGCACCAATAGAACCCCATAAAACCCAATTTTCAATCCCATAGTAGCCATCTCCATAAAATTAGTAATCTTTTGGTACCAATTTCATAAAAATCATCAACAAAAAATTGGAAAAATTTTGGCACCAATTTCAAGAAAATCGATTTATTAGAAAAAAATTATCCGTTAATAAAAAGTTAAACTAATCCTCTAAAAATTTAAAAAATTTTGGCACTGTTTTCAAAAAAATTGGTCAATTATTAATACTTATTATTTCTCAAAATTTTAATAATTTCCAAACCAGTTTCTAGAAATTGGTAACAAAAAATTATCCATAAAAATTATCCATAAAAAATTCAGCTTGATATCTCAAAGTTTACGGAAATTGGAGCAATCACGTATATTTTTTTTTTTTTAACAGAAATCGTAAACTACTTTACTATTAGCAATTTTTCTAATTTTATTACATTCTTTAGTTCTTTCTACCTCTATCTATATATATAAGTACCTGACGTCTGTCTGTCTGACGCAAACTACTTGTTATTTTCCGAGAAATTGGAAAAATTTCGTAACCGGTTTCCAAAAACCGGTCTTAATCGCTCGCGACAGTCACGAATTGAAGTAACTGGTTAATTCCCAAAAAATTTAAAAAATTTCTGATATTGGCTTCCAAAAAGATCGGTAACAAAAAATTATACACTTTATAGCACTCCCCGGAAAATTCTACCTCTGTTTCATATGTAACTCTTTGAAATTCGGTCAATTATTTCCCGAAAAATTAGAAAAACCGGTTTCCAGAAAATCGGTAACAAATCCTACATACAACATATTTCATTTAAAACTAATCGACCCCTGAACGATTTAATTCCCGAAAATTATAAAAAAAAAGATTTTTTTTGGCCTTTGCAACTTCCTCCATTTCATAATTTAGTGCTGCTCTTAGCAATAGATCATCCTGACCGTCTTCTAATGTACATTTTTAAAAAAATCACGTAGATTTTTTTAAACAAAAATCGGAAACGTTTCAAGAAAATCAGTACATTAATAAAAAATTAAACTCGCGATTTAAAAAAAATCAGCATATACAATTCTTTGAGATTCGGTCAATTATTTCCAGAAAATTTGGAAAAATTTTGGAACCGGTTTCCAAAAAGATCGGTAACGAAAAATTATACACTTTATGGCAATTCCCGGGAAATTCTACCCCTACTTCATATACAATTCTTTACGATTCGGTCAATTAATTCCCAAAAAGTTGGAAAAATTTTGTAACCGGTTTCCAAAAAGATCGGTAACGAAAAATTGTACACTTTATGGCACTCTCTGGGACATATTCTACCCTTACTTCATATACAATTCTTTAAGATTTGGTCAATTAATTCTCGTAAAATTTGAAAAAACTTCGGAACCGGTTTCCAAAAAAATCGGTAAAAAAAAAAAAGCCGCGACATTTTCATCCCCGGAAAATTCTACCCCTATTTCATATACTTTTGGTAAAAATTCGGTCCACTAACGAATGAGTAGTTCGCGTACAGACAGACAGACAGACAGACAGACAGACAGACGTGACTTATATATATAGATATTACAAGTTATACTTAATTAATTGTTACATAATTTTATACAATTAATCTGAAAACTGTGTTGTTCTCTAAAAATTTGGAGGTAAATGTAGTCAAAAATAGGTTCGTATAATGTCGGCGATATTTAGATGTGTTATTTTACATTGTCAGGGATAATTTCAAAGTTGGACTATATCGTGGACACTGGCATCAATGCGATCTGGTTGTCGCCCATATACCCAAGTCCCATGATCGATTTCGGATATGACATATCCGATTTTAAAAACATCGATCCGACCTTCGGTTCATTAGAAGACTTCAAAGTTCTTCTAGCACGCGCTAAGGCACTCGGTTTAAAAGTGAGACGTCTTGCCAATATCGTGCACAATTATAAATAAATTTCTTATATTACGATTATATATATCTAACAATAAGTCAAATATGTATAAACTTACTTCTCTTTATGTTATTTCAGAAAACACGTTACTTTTTATTTTTCACTGCAACTTCAAAGCCACTTTATGATATCATTCTTACAGGTGGTTCTTGATCTTGTGCCGAATCATACATCTGACAAGCATATATGGTTCCAAAAGGCTCTACAAGGTCATAAGAAGTATAAGAACTATTATGTGTGGGCACGCGGTCGAAATGGAGACGGCATAACACCGCCCAACAATTGGATCAGCGTATTTAGTGATTCCGCGTGGACTTATGTTGAATCACAAAAACAATGGTATCTTCATCAGTTCGAGTATAGACAACCTGACTTAAATTTCCGTAACCCTGCAGTAAGATTAGAGATGAAAGTAAGTAACAAGAAGAATTTTAATTTTTTTTAAGATGTTGTCATATGTTGTAAACTTGGAAAATTTTTATAACACTTTCCAGATAGCACATACACGTTTCAGAAATGTTTTATGAGTGTTTTTCCGAAACGTTTTATAACCGATTTCTAGAAACGTTTCTCATGAGTAAAAATGTCTATTCGAAAAACGTTCGATGGAACGTTTCTTTTCCGATAAAATAACGTTTAAAAAAACTATTATAGAAACGTTTATCACGAGTAAAAATGTCTATTCGAAAACGTTCGATGGAACGTTTCTTTTCCGATAAAATAACGTTTA